CCTATAGGGTTTCCAAAGCTGTAATCATTACAGAAGCAGAGTGTCATATCTTTCTCTCATGAGGCCAGCTTAGAGCAAGGGCAATCCAAATAGGTCATTAGCTAGACAGTCCATGTCACACACAGAAAAAAAGAAAGGGAAGAATCAGATTTGAGTAAAGAAAGATAACAGATTTCATACCAATTCATTTAGAGCTGTGGTTCCTAATTAAGGATTCACTTGGTATTTCAGAATTTAACCAGTATGATCTGTGTGTGTATAAAACCTCCTTCCTTTCTCTAGCTTTCACAGTAGGCATTTTGTGCATGCATTGCAACCGTTACAGCCCAGGCTGGAGAGTCACTAATGTGATGGGCTGTGATTTGGAAAATGATCTTGGACTTGAGTACTCAGAGTCTGAGAGAGAATCTTAAAGTTTAAGATCTGCCTTCTAGGAAGCTTTGGGTTCAACTGTGCAGGCCTGTTACAGTACATCTTCTATACAGGTATGAACTCTGAGTCACACACACCTTCTGGAAAATGGGGTGGGGATCCCCAAAACCCAGTCCGCAAGCAGTTCAGCTGGGAGGGGCAGCAGCTGAGCCCCAGTCCTGAGGTCTTGTTGTTAGGCTCCGTGAACGCAAGCAGCCATGTCACCTCCCCTGTGGCTGTTTCCTCCTCTGGGAAGTGTGGGTACTTATTACTGCCTCAGTGCTGGGAGGGCTAGATGGTATGTACCAGCCTGCCATTGTCGACTGTCACGTGGCGCTCAGGCACTGGCCTGAGGGTTCCTGGCTTGGGCTCCACGGAGGAGCACTGCACATCTTTGAACGTGTCTGGCGTTTCAGGATCCTAGTGTCGTGCACCTGCCATTCACCAGGAGCCAGGCTTTGGAGAGAGTGTCTGGGTCTGCTGGGCAGATCTCAGGGGCCCGTGGTTCCTGGGACGTTGTGCTGGGGACATTCTGGCCGATCAGCCTTCCATCAGGTCAGGCTTCAGCTTGAAGATAGCAGCTGCTGAGGTGAACACCATGGCGCATGGGGATGAGGGAGCTGTGGAGGGAGATTACTAAACAGAGGTCGCACTTTTCCTGGAGTGAACGAGAGAGGACAGGTGGACTTTATGGAATTTGTAATAGCAATGTGAAGTGGCCTCAGGGCCTCTGGCTGACTGGTTAGTGTAGTTCAGGCCCTTAGCTGTTTTCCTTGACCTCCTTCCTCTGACAGTTCCTATTTTTCCCCCCTTTCCCTTCCCTTCTCTTTTTAAGAGAATTGAGCTGTTGTTGTGTGCCGTCGAGCCGGACCCAAGTCACAGCGACCCCTCCTTGGGTTTCCGAGGAGGTATCACTACAGAAGTAGATTGCCCAACCTTCCTTCCGTGGAGTGGCTGGTGGGTTTGAACCGCCAGCCTTCTGGTTAACAGTCCAAGTGCCTTAGGCACTATGCTACCAGAGCTCCTGAGAATTGAGCAACTTTATATAAAATAACCCAATTAACTTTAAAAAAAAACCAAAACCATTGCCATCAAGTTGATTCTGACTCATAGCCATCCTATAGGACAGAGTAGAACTGCCCGTAGGGTTTCCAAGGCCATAAATCTTTATGGAGGGCTACTGCTACATCTTTCTCCATGGAGCAACTGGTGAGTTCAAACAGCTGACCTCTGGTTAGCAGCCAAGCACTTAACCACTGTGTCACCAGGGCTCTTAACAGCAAATAGAGCCCCTTAAAAAGCAAGTGTTCATAGTTATCCAGACTCTCTTCCTGTCCTGGGCAGTGTACTTCTGTGCTTTCGCACAAAGTTGTAGCCAGGGTTGGGCTGTTTGTCTGCTAGGTTTGTGTATCCTTGTGCAGTGGTGCACGCCAATGTGTACTGTTGTCCGAGTCAGCTGGCCCTCTGTTGTTAGGAGCAGCGGTTCTTCTAACGTCACTGTACGGCTGTGTATCACCCTGGTGCAGGGCACTGTGAATACTTCTTGGAGATGACTCTCCAGAGTGGGATCTCTTTCTTTGTTTTTGTGGGCAGGGAAGGTCTTGTTAATAGTGAAGGTTGATGTCTACACATTTCCTACATTTATGATTTGAACCTCTTTTTTAGGGATGTCAGTGGTTTCTGCAGAGAAAAACATATTTGATTATAGGGCCAGCCAGACTAAGTCTGGACACACAGATTTTCAGAATGTGAAGAGAACTCTGCTTCTGCTGTTGTAAGGTAGAACTGGCACCCGAAGGTGACCACATGGCTACCTCAGGAGCCAATGGACTAGGCTGCCTTCCTCCGGCACCACCTCAGTCTGTATGGGCTGGACTGTGTCACTGAGCTGTCCCACTTTGTTCCAGTGGTGCCATTGGTCTGTGTGGAGGACTTTACAGTCTTGCTGTAGGGGTGGTGAGCTGCTGCCTTTAAAGTAAAAGCAATAAATCAGGTTCCATGTGTGGACAACTGCTGAAGTCGTGGGCAGTGGATTACCCTTATAGTTTTGGGGTTTTGTAACTGCATATTCTTGGCAATATGCATTAGACCACTTCCTTCCTTTCTCCCTTTTGTTTTTTTTTCATTCAACAGGTATTAATGGAGAACCTGTTTTTCTCTGGACCCTAGTGATGCAGGAGAGACACCATTGTGGCTCTGTCATTGCAGACTGATGTGGCCTCCTGGAAGTTGGGAAGAGGGAGCCAGGCTCTCAGGCAGGACTATGGTTGAAGAGGGTGGTGGAGGGTGTACCCAGGAGGACTGGCACAGATGAGGTGCTGCTCTAATGAAGAAAACGCCACGTGGCTTCCTACCCCCATCTGTATTTTACGAGAAGCAGAAGGTCTCGGGCTCAACTCCATCCTCCCAGGGTGCCGTCAGTAACTGCAGTGCACAGCTCATTCATTGGGCAGCATGAGTGGGTACGCACGTTCTTCTAGGGCTCGCCTTGTGTACCCCACAGTGTGCCAGCTTCGTGGAGATGAAGTCTGTGACTGGGAGTCAGCAGGTTTCTATTTTCTGTATATTCTGAGTGTTCTTGGAAACATCACTAAGTCTCAACCAGAATAAAAATATCAAACATTTATTGAGTGTTTCCCATGAAGACAGACACTGTGCTAAGCCTTCCCTTCTATGTTCTCATTGAATCTTCCTATATGATGCTATGGTCCAGAGGGATGCTAAACCTAAAGGAGCTCTGGTGGCGTAATGGTTAAGTGCTTGGCTGTTAACTGAAAGGTTGGTGGTTCAAGCCCACCCAACAGCGCCATGAGAAAAAGACTTGGTGATCTACTCCTGTAAAGATTACAGTCTAGGAAACCCTATGGGGCAGTTCTACTACGTCACATGGGGTCATATGAGTTGGAGTTGCTGGTGGCGTAGTGTCTAAGGCACTTGACTGCTAACCAGAAGGTTACCAGCCACTCCTCAGAAGGAAGGTTGAGGAATCTATTTCCTTAGTGATACTGCCTTGGGAATCCAAGAAGAGGTCGCTGTGAGTCGGGTCCAACTCGACGGCACATAACCACCACAACAGACCTAAGGGTAGGAGAAGGTTCAGGAAGACCTTGCTGCACAAATCATGTACTCGGTCCTAAACGATAACTGACTGACTGCCTGGAGTAGACTTGGCTGCCTGGATAGAGCAGTGGTCACAGCAGTGTGGTGGAGAGGGCTGGCTTTTACTTCCTTCTTTGTGTTTTTCAAGGACCCTTTCCTTTCTTACACTTCCTTGCTGTCCTTGACACCTGTTTCTAGGTGGAGCACATAGAAAACGTTGAGTCTGTAAATACTGAGGTCTCTTCTGTCTTTAAGGAGCTCTGGTGGCATAGTGGGTAAAAGCCAGAAGGTTGGTGGTTCAAACCCACCACCTGCTCTGTGGGACAAAGATGAGGCAGTCTACTTTCCTAAAGATTCACATCCTTAGAAACCCAATGGAGGTCGCTGTGTGTCAGATTTGACGATGGCAGTGGGTTTAGTTTTTTGGCTTTTCTCCTTGGCCGGAGGCTGGCCTGGTTCAGTCTCCACATTGTAGCTCTGTTTTTGCACGTTACCCTGTCAGTCCTTGGTGCAGCTGTGCTGCTCTTCCTCTGGAAAGTTCTCCCAGTGGGCTGCCCTTACGCTGTCAGAGCAGAGGCCTCAGGGATGGTGGATGAACTTGTTGTGCACGCAGTGGGACTGTGTTTCCCTAGCCGACCAAGTCTCAGCCCAGCCAGCAGGCAGTGGGGACTAACTTGTCGCTCTGCACGGCCCCCTCGGTCACCCAGCAGAGGACCGAGCCGGCTGGGAGCACCGTTGGCTGCTGGGCGACTGCCGCAGAGCTGATGAGGCCTCAGTGTGTGGATGCCTTTGGTAGTTGGTCAGCGCCCTGCCTCCTCCTGCCTCTCTTGAAAGAGCCTGCAGCCCTGGGCAGGGAAAGGCGAGTGGACCCATGCTCAGCTTTCTGGAAAGAGTCGTCCACGTGTGGCTGGCCCGACGCCCAAGTGGGAGCTGGGGCCTGTTTTCCGGCTTCATTATAGTGTCTTCATTTTGATGTAATTTCAAGCTTACAGAAAAGTTGTATAGTGGAAGTCTTGTACGCCTTTTACCCAGCTTCACTGTAATGTTTTGCCTCTTTGCTTTATATACTTGTGTATGTTTGCCCCCAAAGGTACACGGGGCAGGCTCTTGTTCTGCAGTTGGTGTATGCAGGGGCGGGCCCTCGTTGCACAGACTGCCTGTGCCTCTTCTAAATACACTGGTGTGTGTTTCCTAAGAACAAGGCCATCTCTTACACAATCCTACTATTATGAAAAAAAACCCCAAATAGCAAATTGAGTGTCCATTTGATACTGTATCCTCATCCACAGCCTGTGCTCCAGTTCTGTCTGCACCCAGACAAGGCCCCAGTCATGTCAGCGCTTGCTTTGTGAAACGCATCCGGGAGGGCAGGCCCTTGTCCTCCTCTGGGTGAGCAGAGCAGGCAGGTGTCTGGGGAGAGGGCTGCTGTGGGCACCGTGGGCAGCATGTCACCAGCTCTCATGTCTCCTCCAGGACCTGTGGGCAGAGAGTGTCAGGACCCTCACTCAGCAACATGTCGGCAGAACCAGAGTCCTCCGAGGGGCTGGATGAGTCGGAGAAAGAGAGTCCCGGGACCCTGGAGATGCAGAGCCCTGCCAGGTGAGTGGTGAGGCCTGCTAGGTTCTGCCAGAGGGATCTTTGTACACTGGAGGCGCACTGAGGTCGGCCTGCAGGACCCATGGTGTGCACAGCTGGTGGCGGGGTTGGGACTCATGGGCCCTCAGCACTGTCTCCATGTCCTCGGGCAGTTCTCAGCCAGTGTCTTATCTGGAGAGGGGAGAGGCTGGCTGGGAATGCTGAGTATTAGGATCAGATGGTGTTCCTTGCCCTAGTTTTTCTTAGAATTCTTATAGTGTTTCCATCTGTGGGTGAGAAAGGGCAGTCAGACCACATATCAGGCCCTTGCCAGTGTCGGCTGTCCCCTAATGGGGAGGATGACTCCAGCCCTGATTGGTTTCAGGGCTTTTCTAACTAAGGCGTGGTCACTTTAAACCTCCAGTGACCACAACCTGCTCTTCACTGTTCCTAGTCTCCCTTACAGCCCTGTCATTGGCAAGTTTTTTTTTTTTTTTTTTTTTAAAGTAACTTGAAGTAGCCGTGATAATAATTAATTCTCCGCATGTGGCATGGTGATACAAACTAATCTCCTGAGACGGCGGCGTAGGCTGAGCTGGAGGGCCGTCTTCCTTGGGCAGGCCATCGGGCTGCGCCAGCCACCAGCCCCTCTCAGGCTTTTCGCCTTGTGCTGCACTGGCACCACTGGTACAGCGTCATCCCACCTTGGTTTTCGGGCAGCTCAGAGACCAGGTCCTGGCCCGGGCCCCTCAAGCCTTTGTCCCATTGTCATCCTCCCAGGCCGGTGGATGGGAGGTTGACCCCAAGACGCAGGCCACAGTCCTTTGCAGCTGCTGCACCGGGGAGGTGTGTTCCACAGGCCTGGTGCCTCTGGAGAAGCCTGTGAGCACTGCTAGGGGTTAGGGGTGTGTCCTCCAGCACCGGCAACTACAGAAGCAGAGTGCCCCACGTGCGGACACTTACCAGTGGATGCGGACACTTTTGAGGGGCTGTCCCATCTCTTTGCCTTCTAGGGCCCCCTGCCTGCCCCAGTGCCCTGGCAAGGCCCTGCTGGCACGCTGGAGTGACATCCCAAGCAGTCTCATCTCCTGTTAGCTCGGTGACATAGCAGGGTTGGGGTTAGCACATGGCATGCAATCACATGTGGACCTTCCCAGGCGCTTAGAAGGGCCAGTTCCCACACCTGCCCATGTCTCTCCACAGAATATCTGACCTCTCAGAACTCCTGAAGGAAGGGACCAAGGAAGCACATGACCGGGCAGAAAACACCCGGTTTGTTAAAGACTTCCTGAAAGGCAACATCAAGAAGGAGCTCTTTAAGGTACATGCCCTCACTCCCTGCAGGGGTCTTTCAGAGACCACCAAAGGGCCCAGGCCTGAGTCTTGGGAGGAAGCCCCTCCCCCCAGAGCTGTTCTGGAGCAAGCTGGGCCTGCTCTGGGCTCTGCTCCTTGCTCAGATGCAGCTGTGGTTCTCAGGGCTTAAATGGAGTAACAGTGACATAAATGAAACACAAGTGTCTGTGTTCCAGAGGACTCACCGAGTCACTCCTTAAGACTCATGAATGCTGCCCTGGGGCGTGAAGGTATTCTTTGTTTAAAGATGGTGGTAGGATTGAGTCTGGGGGCTCGGGCTGTGGGCAGCTGCCTCAGCCTTCTCTCCAGCTGATGGGACAGGCTCAGGTTATGCATTGTTAGCCAGCCCCTCCTGATGGTCTGTCTCCCTGCCCCGTCCCACAGCTGGCCACCACTGCACTTTATTTTACGTACTCGGCCCTTGAAGAGGAAATGGACCGCAACAAGGACCACCCGGCCTTCGCCCCCTTGTACTTCCCCATGGAGCTGCATCGAAAGGAGGCGCTGACCAAGGACATGGAGTACTTCTTTGGTGAGAACTGGGAGGAGCAAGTCCAGTGCTCCGAGGCCACCCACAAGTACGTGGATCGGATCCACTACGTGGGGCAGCGTGAGCCGGAGCTTCTGGTGGCCCATGCCTACACCCGCTACATGGGGGACCTCTCAGGGGGCCAGGTGCTGAAGAAGGTGGCCCAGCGGGCTCTGAAACTCCCCAGCACAGGGGAAGGGACCCAGTTCTACTTGTTTGAGAACGTGGACAATGCCCAGCAGTTCAAGCAGTTGTATCGGGCCAGGATGAATGCCCTGGACCTGAACCTGAAGACCAAAGAGAGGATCGTGGAGGAGGCTAACAAGGCCTTTGAGTACAATATGCAGGTACCACAGGGGGACAGGTGCCATGGGGCTTACATTTGTCTGCATATCTGGGAAGTGAGGGGTAAATCCAGAGCTTTCCACAAGGAATCAGTGGCATTAGGACAGATAACAGGGCCTGCTGGCCTGTTCCTGCAGCCTACCCAGGCGATGTGGAGGAAACCAAATAGGCCAGCAGAGGCATGAGCCTGAGAGATGTCTCCCACCACAGAGACCTATGTGTAGAGGCCTTTTGTGAAGGGGGTGGCCCCCGAGGGCTCTGGGCAGAGTGGAGCTATCTCCCTCCCCCCACTTCCTGCAGGATTCTGGTCTTGAAAATGGATCTTTTCCTACTTTTTTAGCAAGGACTGCTATAACAAGCCCTGCTTGGTAAGTTCAGAGGTGGCCAGGTTCGCCAGGGAGAGTAACTCAGCTTATAGGAGCCTTAAGAAGGGCCAAGTGTCCCAAGAACCCTGAGTCAGCCCTCTGTGCTGGGGAGAGTGGATGTGCAAGAAGTGACACACCCACCCTACTGCAGACTCGGCTCCCACGTTCCTTTGGAGAGGACCAGTACTTGCACCCCAGCCTGGCCAGCCCCTTGGCCCTGTCTGCATCGGTCTGTGATAGTTTCAGTTCCTGGTCTACCTCCAAGCAGGCCAGCCTGATTGGTGCCCAGGAAAACCCCTCTGTGGTGGGCTCCTCAGGGAGGGGCCAGGTAGCACCTCTCTCAAGCTCCCTCCTGTAGGAAGCGAGTCTACTGAGAGCCAAGGGTGAGAATTCTGAGGCCCTGCTGGTCCTCTGTCCTCAGATATTCAATGAACTGGACCAGGCTGGCTCCACGCTGGCCAAAGAGACTGTGGAAGATGGGCTTCCCGTGCACGATGGGAAAGGAGACATTCGCAAATGCCCATACTACACTGCTCAGCAGGACAAAGGTAGGTCTGGCATCTCCCCAGTGCCCTTCCCAGGCCGCAGGGCCACAGTCCACTAATGCTGCCTCTCCTCTTGGCACCACCACATAGGCGCCCTGGTGGGCAGCAGCTGCCCCTTCCAAACAGCCATGGCTGCGCTGAGGATGCCCAGCCTCCAGCTCGTTCTTGCTGCCACCATGGCCCTGGCTGCAGGACTATTGGCCTGGTACTACCTGTGAAGGACCCTGCCCCGTCACACTGGTGCCACCTCCCAAAGTGACCACCGGCCCCACCCCCATCTGACTTAACTGCCAGCCACCTCTGGTGACTTTTTTTTAAACGCTGGGTCTGAGAAAACAAGCGGCCGTTAAAAGCCAGATGCTAAAGCCTGTGCCTGCCAGCGTCCTCTGCAATCCAGGTGCCGAGGTGGCTTGGGCTCCCCATCCTGTGTTCCCGGGCTCCCACTTCTGATCCCTGGGCTCATTCCCTTCTCCTCCTGGTCTCTCAGCACTCAGGGGGTGCCCTTCCTCCGCTGGGACCACAATGGGAGGGAGCAGGATCCCCCTCCTGGGCAGCCAGCCCTCCTTCCTCAACCAGAGAACCTGAGGGGGGGGTCTGTTGGCCCATGGACCATCTCTGACCCATGTCAATGCTTCTGTACTCAATAAAGAGGATTCTGCACGCTTCTGCCTTCTTTTCTGGCACCCACAACTTAGCCCTTAGGGAGTAGAGTCCCTTGAAAATAAGGTGTATATCTCTTGTGGGATGGTGTCACCCTTCAGGATGGCCCCATTGTTGCTCATCCCATTGCCCTCATCTCAGACCAGATGTTCCATCACCTGGGCCTGTGGTTCCCTCACCCCAGAATGCTCTGGGGTGTCCTATGCTTGTACAGTCTTACATTATACACATACATATATATAAATATGTGTATGTGTGGATATATATATATGTATAGTGATTCGGGAAACCCATAAGCCTCTGTAATGTAACGAGTCACTGATTACGTAAAATAGATATATGAACTTAAATAATTTTAATAACAATCTCAGCCCTGTTTATATGTTGGGGTGACTTTGTTCAGATGAGTAGTGGGGAACCCCAGCTCAGGGGCTCTGTCTTAAGAGAATGACAGCACCTGCCCACAAGCAGAGTCAGCTCGAACTTGGTATGGCTCCGTCAGACAGGCCCTACTGGTGGAGGCTGTAGTGTGTATGGAGGGGAGTAAGGGATCTGGCTGCCAAAGTGTGTCTGCACCTGATCCACATGTGTTTTCTCAGGTCTGAAACATCAGCATGGTCACTGGGTAGCCAGTGCTGTGTCAGCACTTGGGGATTCTGAGAGACTGGGCAGCTTGTGGCCACTACCTCCCCTTCGGAAAATAAGGAAGCCAAGCAAGAGAGCAGAGGCCCAGCACGGGGTGGTGAAGGGCCAGTTTAATGAGGAACTATACACTGAGACCAGCCATGACTCACAATGACAGGAGGCCATGCAGCGGCGGTGTGGAGACTGGGGGTTGGTAACAGGACACAGCAGTGCACACAAGCAGTTTTCAGACCACCATTTAGGAGCCACAGGGGCGTGGGCCCAGAGGACTGCTGTCCACTAGGGCCCCTCTGTTCTCCTGCTGCAGCTGGGACACACGACCTGCCAGGCTTGCAATCTTCACGCACAGTGAAGAAACCCTGTAGATGGAGGGTACAAGGTGCACGGGTACTCCTCTCTGGCCCCAGAAAATGCAGAGTTCAGAGAGGCCTGGCCAAAACGCGTCTATGCACTGACTCGGAGAGGGCTGGGTAGGTCCAAAATTGAGCGCCCTCTTGGCTAGCCAGGGCCTATTCACTTACCTAGGGCCCCACAGGAGTGCTGTCCTTAACCCTCATCAGGGCCCAGGGACTCAGGACACCTGGGCAGGTGTTAGAGAGTTCCTGGGTTTCGGTACCTGAGAGTCTGTGGGCCAGAGCTGGCAGCCATTACTGCTGACCTTCATGGCCCACCTCTGGCACTCAGCACACAGCACCCCAGAAACAAATCCAAAGGCCCCTGCCCCGCATGGGCCCATCTAACTGCCGACACTTGTGCTCTTGGCCCAGCACACCAGGGGCTACAGGCCTGTTGCACTGTGGCCATCAGGCTGGGGGGCCTGGGCTGTGGAAGCAGCTACTGCTCTGGCTGCTGGGTCCCAAGGAGGCTCAGGATCGTACCTGTTCCTCGGCCGGGGTGGAGGGACAAGGACTACGGCAGAGAGACTGCAAGCAGACCCTTCCCAGCTGATCTCGCTGGCCACAAACACCACATCAACCAGTGCTGCGGCTCAGTGCCGCCCCTGCCGCCTGCTGGCCGCAGCCTGAAACCTGACTGAGTTTTTGCCAGAAGAGTCAGCTGCTTGGAGAGGGCAAGGCGAAGAACAGGGGACTTCCTGGGACCGGTGAGGTGGCTTCCAGCCCCGTGGGAGGAGGAGCGGGCCTCTGAGTGTGGGGAGCAAAGCACAAGGACCAGACTGACAAGCGGGGTCAAGTCCAGATCCGTCAGCACAAGCGTTTGTACGTGTAGATGTAGGCCTTGCAGTTGGGGCATGTGTGAGTCACGTCTTTGAAGTCGTTGATGAGGCAGGGGATCAAGCAGCACCCCAGGTCGCATCTGCAGCAGAGACAGGGAGACACAGAGACACATGGGGCGTGAAGAGACACCGAAGGCACTGTCGTGTCCTTTCAGGGAGCAGAGGGCCTGCAGGCCACCCGCCCCACGAGCACCGCACACCTACCCCATGAAGCAGCAGAAGAAGCCCAGCACGAAGTTCATCAGGCCGATCTCGTAGGAGATCTTGGTGGTGATGGCCTGCTGGCAGTGGGGACACACTGTCTGCACAGGTGCGCCCTCAAAGATCTCTCCCTGCAGCACTGTCACCGTGGTGGCAGCCCCTGAAGGGACCAGGACTGTGGCCGTGTGGCCCCCCGGGCCAGGATAAGGCCCGGGGGGGTAGGGCCCTGGTGGATAGTAGCCCATAGGAGGGTGGGGTCCTGGAGGAGGGTAGAAACCTGAAAGATAAAACAGTGAGGCACCACAGGCCCCAGAGGTAAGTAGCGAGTCCGGTGCCCCTCGGGGGAGGCCTGAGTTCTTCCTACCACCCACCCAGAGTGTCCACAGGGTGCCGGCCCCAGGCTGATCTACAGGCTCGAGGCCATCATGGTCCCCACCCCACATGAGCCAGGACAGAGAAGCTGTGGGCCCAACAGATAGGGCACAGAGCTGGGGATAAGACCCAGTCTGTCCCAGGTCTTGGCATGATCTGTTAGGGTCTCCCCGCCCCCTCTTACATGCCATGTTCCCCCTGAGCTTGGGCTGGAGTTGAGGACTGCCACCCCGCCACAGGGGACAGGAAGCCTGTGCAAGGACCCGGGGCCCTGGAGCTGCACAGTCCTCTGAGCTGCTATGGGAATTGCACCCAGGCCTGCTGCCCTCTGCCCGTGGGGCCCAGGACCCATCTGGTGCTGCCACTTCATAGCGCCACACGGTGCTGTGTGACACTTTCTGCACAGTTGGCCTGCAGCACAGCAGCCGGGTGTCCCCTGGGACTTACCTGGAGGCATGTAGGCTCCATCTGGGTTCACATGGGGGGGGACAAAGCCGGGCTGGAGCACTGGGTGACTGGGTGGCTCATAGGGTGGGGGGCCAACGTCTGCTGGGGGCAGAGGCATGCCTGGAGGGGGCTGCATCACAGCTGGGGAGGCGCGGCCTGGAGAGGTGGGCAGCAAAGGCTCAGCTGACGGCTGGTGTGGGCACGTTGGCCAGGCAGGAGGCAACTGGTGGAACCACTTGGAGCCTGGGGGTAAGACCCCCTGGAGGGGGACTCAGAGGTACAGAGGGCCCAAAGCCCCCCCAGGGGTGGGAGGGTGCTCCAGACATCAGCATGTAGCAGGTGGGACTTGTGAGTGGCAGGGCCCCTCGGGAGCCTGAGCCCTACCTGGGGTAGGTGGGGCTCCACTTTTCTCCTCCAGAAGGGGAGCTGTGGGGCCCCCAGGATACGGAGGGGGCGGCTCATTAGACATCTTCACTGCTTCTCCTGGACCTGAAAGGAGAACCCAGCCATGAACTCCCAGCCTACCTACTTCCCGGTCAGCACTGGCTGTGGGATGGGTCTGACCACAGGCATGGGCAATCGTGCCAGCACCCTCGGCCTCCCTGGCTCCTCTGCAGGCATCCCCTGCCTTGGGGTTCACGTGCCTGAGCCGCCACCTTTTACACCCTTCCATGTAAATCGGCAAGTTCAAAAGATACAGGAAGGGGGTCACCGCGCTCCCGCTAGGCACGTTAGTGCCCACCATGGACAAGCCATCCTCTGCTCACGAGGCTTAAAGCTCATCAGTCACTCCCACTCCTGTGAGAGAGAAGGGCCCAGGAGGCAGAGCCCAGAAGCACCCCTGGCCCAGGAGCCTGGACACAGTGTCTCAGGCTCCACAGCTGAGTGCAGCGTGGCAACAACTAGGGCTGCCCTCCCCCAATAAGGAGGGAGCGAGGAACGTGCCGGACACTAGAACAGCCACGGAGGAGACACCCCCAGCCTCAGAGAAAGGACTGGCTTGTGGCCTAGCTGGGGGAGGAAGTTCCTGGGAGATCTTTTACCTCAGATCCTCGGCTCTGAGTCAGAGAAGGCGGGCAGCTAAGGATGCTTCAGTGTCTGGCCTGACAGGCAGATGGCAGTGTGGGCAGCTGTTTCAGGAGAACAGGAAGTGCTTTCAGCATCTGTGGGACCAAGACCTGGTCACCCTCCCACCGTCTCCCCATCACCTCACATCTCTGACCACTCCGCCTGTCCATGGGGTCTCCTTCCTCACCCCACTTTCTCTCTGCCCACAGCTGGGCCACTGGCGCCTGTCTTCTCCCCACCCATCCCAGGACAGCCCCCAGCACACTGTGGCCCACGCTTTTCTCCGCACCCCGGCTCCCACAGGCAGCTAGTCCCCTTCTTCCTTATCATGGAGAAGACGGTGCCCATCAAGTCAAACCCACTTCTCACTGACCACATTCTCCAGGTAGCACTGCCTAGCCCTGAGTCCCACTGCTTGCCGCCTCCGTGAGTCTAACCCTCTCACTTGTATTTCAGCATCCCAAAGGCGAAAGAAACATTCACAGCATTTTGAAATGGGATTCAGTTATTATTTTTCTTTAAAAAATGAAAGCAATAAAATAACATGAACAAGGTAAGAAAACCCTGTAAACCAAAAGGTCGGTGGTTCAAACCAATCAGCCACTCTATGGGAGAAAGGTGAGGCAGTCTCCAAGATTACAGCCTTGGAGACCCTATGGGGCAGTTCTCCTTTGTCCTACATGGCCACTAAGAGTCAGAATTAACTTGATGGTGGTACATTTGGTTTCTTTTTGGCAGTTACCAAAAAAAAAAAAAAAAAAAAAAACCCAAAAAACAGTGAAAGTCTCCTGGTACAGCTGCCTTCTTGGAGCCCCCACATTATATCTCAGACCCATGGTGGTGGTAGCTGGAGGATGGGTTTAAATATTAAGTGTAATGAATCAGGCAGGGCCAGAAGGGCCTGAATCCAAGCTCTTGGGTTAAACTGATAATGTAACATTGTAGTCTGAAAAACTGAAGGAAATGAATGTTGGCAGAAATATTAAAGTCTTAGAAGAAACATAGGCCTGTGACGTCTTTGTGACCTTTGCTCAGACAATGGTGGCTTAGGACACCAAAACCACAAGCAACAAAAGAGATCAGATCTATTGGATTCCATCAAAATGGAAAACCTCTGTGCAGCAAAGGATACCACCAAGAGAAGTGAGTACTCACAAATGGGAGAAAATGTTTATAAATCACATGTCTACAGAGAGACTTGTATTTACAATATATAAAGAATTCAAAAAGGCAAATAACCCAATGAAAAAATGGGCAAAGGACCTGAATAGCTATGTCTCTAAAAGAAGACATACAAATGGCCAGTCAATAAGCACATGAAAAGAAGTGCAACATCTGTAGCCATCAGGGAAAGGCAAATCAAAACCACCATGAGATACCACTTCATGCCCGCTGGGATTGCTGGACTAAAAAAGACAAGTGCAGGTAGGGATGTGTCAAAATGGAACCCACATACGGTGCTGGTGGGAATTTAAAATGGATCAGCCACTGTAGATGACAAACAGTTCCTCTAAAAGTTAAACTCAGTTACTGTGTGACCCAGCAGTTCCACTCTTAGGTGTCAACCCAAAACATGTCTACACAAAAGTCCATAGCAACATTATTCATACTAGCCAGAAAGCAGAAACAAGCCAAATATCCATCAACTGATGAATGAATAAATGCACTGTCCACACATCCATCAGCAACAAAAAGAAACAGTGTTCTGAAACGTGGTGCACCATGGGTGGACTTTGAAAACATCATGCTGAGCGAAAGGCCACAGAGTGTGATTCCACTGATCTGAATGTCCAGAACTGACCAATCCAGAGAGACAGGTTCTTTCTGGGGTGATGATAATGTTCTAAAACTGACCATGGTGCTGGTTACACAACCGAACGTGCTAAAAACCACGGAATCATACACTTCAGTGGGTGAGTCGTGTAGCGTGTGAACTGTCTTTCAATGAATCTGTGGAAGGAAATGGAAGGAACACAGAATCCCAATCACATGACCTGCAAGCAGCGAGTCTTTATGCACATCCCTCCAGTCTGTGTGCATGACTCTGGCGTTTGAATATCCCTGCTGTCAGGACAAACCTAACCAAGTGTTTGCAGGAAGAATGAGAAGGAAGGATGGAAGGAAGGGGTGGGGGCACAGGAAGTGGGGAGAATGCCGTTACAGTGTGGGCATCGCACTGAACATCACTAACCAGCATGTATGGATTGTTGAATGGAAAACCAATTTGCTCTGTAAACTTCCACCCATACCACAATTAAAAACAAACAACTAAGTCCCTTTACCATCATGCACCTGTGTCCTTCATGGTGAAGACAGTGACCATCAGGATTGCTATTCCTTGAAAGGGACCTTCCGCTGTTTACTTAACCGACTCCTGTTCCCAAGGCATTGAGACCACTACTTGTTACTTTCAAGAATGAACAGGGACCCCTGTCAGTAGGGATGAGAGGACGGGAGCTGGCCGTACGGCTACCCTGGGAACCGCTCAGAGCCCACACAGCAGCCCCTCCTCACCCTGCCTCACCCCATAGGAGGGGTGGCTGCAGGACAGCCTCAGGTGGAGCCCTTCAAGGTAGGATATTCCAGGACCTGTATTAGTGCAGACATTGACACGCAAGGACCTGGACAGTCACGCTGGCACCAGGCAGCAGTCCTGGGTGCGTGCTCTGGGGGCCGCCCTGTGCTGAGCCTGGGCAGGCATTACTTGTCCTCAGTGTGGCCCATGGAGTGGACCCTGTTGCATCTCCATTCCACAGAGAAAGTGACAAGGACAAAGGTGTCTGGTGACAAGCCCGGGGCTGCACAGCCTCGCCATCAGTTTTGGTGTCTTCACGGATTTTGCTGAGCGCATACTCTTGTGTTTACCCGTGTCCAGGCCTAGCACTGAGGCAACACCTGTCCCTGGTAACAGTGGTGTACCTGCCACCCCCATGGCTCTCATCTGGGAAGCTGCTGAGCCCGGGGCAGACAGAGCTGGAGGTCAGGAAGTGTACAGGGTGGAGGCCTGGGCTACTGGGTGACCACAGAGAGCAAGTGATGGGCAAGCGGCATGTCCCTCCATGGTGCCTGCAGTGGACACCACAGGGCAGACGGCTGGCAAGCCCTTGTTGGAGGACCTAGGGGGGCAGCTCCATGCTGCTCTGGGATCAGTAAGGAAACCCTGAGCAGAAAGGGCCCAAGCCTCCCACTGGTGAGCCCCAAGGGACAGAGCGAGGTGGAGGGACCCCTCCAGCCACAGAGGAGAGGGTGGGCCTGCACATGCCCCTTGGTCCGGAACATTCTAGGACCAGGTCCCTGTGCCCTCTCTCAGCCCAGCTTTACACCCACTGTGCTTACAGAGGGGGTTGTTCAGGACCCAGACTAAGCCAAGGCCTGGGCTCCATGACTGTGTATCTGTCTGCATCTCGCTCCACCTTCCCAGGGCCAGCACACAGTTCTCCCAGCCCCACTGCCTGCCTGCCAGGCACTTTCTGAAGGCCACCCCACACCCCATCTCCTGCCTCAGCCCTGTTTGAGTCCCAGATGCTATCTGCCGGGTCCACCTGCATCACAGCCACCCAGAGCCATGTGGAGCTGTGGGCTTGTTCCTGGCTCAGCTCGGTTTTCACCCAAGAGCAGACACTTCTGCTGTGTACCCCAAGGTTGGAGGCCCAGCCTCAGCCCTGAGGATCTCTCCCCATCACTCACAGCTCCACCAGAGGAGTCCACCTTCCCCAGCTGTGCCCAACACGACCCCAGCCAGAACAGTAGGTGGCTTCATGGCAGGGAGGGGCACCTGCTTTCCCCCGGCCAGCTGGCAAGGTCCTAGTGAGGGCTTTCCCAGGAGTAAAAAAATGACGCTTTATTGTGGGGTTTAGGCGACACTGGGGTCAGGAAACCAAGCAAAACTGCCAGCCTGTCCCTGCGTGCGCTCCAGCGCCATAAATCCCAGCCCTGTTTGCAGCGAACGCAACCTTCTCACCCGCTCCTTAGAAACAATGCTGTCTTCGGGGTGGGGTCATGTGACTGAGGTGCGGACAGATCAGAACTGCAAGACCCCTCCCTATCACGGGTGTGGGGGGCTCCCCAAAGCCATGCTGCTACATCCGGGGGAAAGGGAGGAGGGGGGGAGCATGGAACTGGCCTTACGTCTTGCCACTGCCACCAGCAGGACTGTGGCCTTGGGCACATCCCAGGGGGACAGAGACGCCTGCCTTGCGGGCCGTGCAGAGCAGTGATGACACTGTCCTTCGGGACCTGCAGCACCGCACTCTGGGCAGAGAAGGGCACAGCGTGAAAGCACAAACAGCACACGCCGGTGGGGTGAGGATGTCTGCACTTAGGAAGGGGGACCCCGTTAGGAACGGCGAGGGCCACACTACTCAGTGAACTTTCTAGAACACTGAATCGCACACTTTGAAAGAGAGACT